TGGTTGATTGGTTGGTTGATTGATTGATTGATTGGTTGATTGATTGGTTGATTGATTGGTTGATTGATTGATTGATTGATTGATTGATTGATTGATTGATTGGTTTAATAGTTGATTGATTGATTGATTGGTTGGTTGATTGGTTGGTTGGTTTAATAGTTGATTGATTGGTTGATTCCACAGTGGTCAGGTGGTAGCCCTCATCATCTTCACTCTGGGTGTAGGAACTCTGCTTCCCTGGAACTTCTTCATCACGGCCACTCAGGTTTCATACCTTCATCCTCATGTGAACATTTCTATACTCTTATATTGTCATATATGTATATATATATATATGATATAATTATTAAACTTTCCATAATTCATTCTCCTGGTTCCTCTTTTCTTAAAGTACTTTAAAGAACGCCTCACGGTTCCTAACGTCACCTCTAATGGAACGTCAGGCGGCACGACTACAGACTACAACTATGACAGCTGGATGGCTTTGCTTTCCCAGCTGCCCTTGCTCCTCTTCACGCTGCTCAACTCCTTCCTGTATCAGTGGTGAGTCGGTGACTCTGATACAAACAAACCAATGTCCTCTGGTTATCGATGAGTGTTTTTCCTCTGCAGGGTGAGAGAACGTGTCCGAGTCGTCGTCAGCCTCGTCACCATCTTCTTCCTCTTCTCCCTCACGGCCGTTCTGATCTCAGTCCCCCTGCAGCCGGACGCCTTCTTCTCCATCACCATGGCAACCATCTGGTTCATCAACAGTGAGTCCTGAACTGTCACAGCAGCGTCGGACGTCCAACTCAGAGACATTGACTCTCTGTAGAGACGACAGAGTCTTTGTATAAGTCAACCTATCACACTGATGTGTGTCTCTGTGTGTGTGTGTGTGTGTGTGTGTGTGTCTGTGTGTGTGTCTGTGTGTGTGTCTGTGTGTGTGTGTGTCTGTGTGTGTGTCTGTGTGTTTGTCTGTGTGTGTGTGTGTGTGTGTGTGTGTCTGTGTGTGTGTCTGTGTGTGTGTGTGTGTGTGTGCAGTGTGCAGTGCAGTGTTGCAGTGCAGTCTGTTTGGTGTGGTCAGTCTGTTCCCTCATCGGTACAGTTCTCTGTTCATGAGCGGTCAGTGTCTGTCCGGGGTCTTCGCCGCCGTCGCTCTGCTCTGCTCCATCTTAAGTAAGAAACAGAAAATGACGTCACACATTGTTCAACAATCTCTGATTCCTATTGGACCGCAGTGATGATGTCATCATGATTTCATAAAGCGATGCATTAACTTAACCAATCAGATTAGAGATCTACATCTTTATTTGGATCAACCAATCATTGATCCTCATGTGGTTTAAATGACGTCATGATGTTTTTCTTCATATTTCTTCTCTTTTCAGAATAAGTCTTGTGTTTATACATAAAAACAATCATCTAATATCAAACAGATCTAAGTGAAACTGTAGCTCGCCGTCACGAGAAGCAGAAATCGAGAAGATAATTGATTTGAACTGAAAGAAAGTCGACAGCGAATCTCTTCTCCAACTGCGTGAAGCAAAATAAACTAAAGTAATAAACCAAAGTAATAAACCAAAGTAATAAACCAAAGTAATAAACTAAAGTAATAAACCAAAGTAATAAACTAAAGTAATTAACCAAAGTAATAAACTAAAGTAATTAACCAAAGTAATAAACTAAAGTAATAAACCAAAGTAATAAACTAAAGTAATAAACCAAAGTAATAAACTAAAGTAATTAACCAAAGTAATAAACCAAAGTAATAAACATAAGTAACGTCTGTGACTCCGTCTCAGGTAACGCAGATAAAAGCTCGGCTGCGTTGGGATACTTC